TGAAGAATGTATTAAATGAAATTAAAAATACAGCTGAGAGCTTAAGCAACAGGCTAGATCAAGCAGAGGAAAGAATTTCTCAACTTGAAGACAGGTTTTTTGAAACAATCCAGTCAGATAAAAAAAGGTTTTTTTTTTAGATGAAGAAACACTGTGAGATGTAAGACACAAAGTTAAGTTTACAAACATTTGTATTATGAGTATTCTGAAAAGGTACTGAAAACCTATTTAACAAAAGAATAGGCAAAAATTGTCTATGTATTGGGAGAGATATAGACTTTCACATCAAAGATGCTCAAAGATTCCCAAATAGTTTTAACCTGAAAAAGTTATCTCTGAGACACACTGTAGTCAAATTGTCAAAAGTCAAAGACAAGAAAGAATCCTAAAAACAACAAGAGAAAACGATTAAGTCACATTTAGGCAATCCTCATCAGACTAACAAGCAGCAGATTTCTCAGCAGAAACCTTACAGGCTGGGAGAGAGTGGAGTGATATATTCAAAGTGCTGAAAGAAAAACATTGTCAGCCAAGAATATTATAACCAGCAAAGCTATTCTTCAGAAATGGAGAAATAGTGTCTTTCACAGACAAACAAAATCTATGGGAATTCACCATTGTGAAACCAGCCCTACAAGAAATCCATAAGGGAGTCCTACACCTCGTAGCAAAAGAATGATAACTACCATTATGTTTATGCACAAAAGAATAAAACTCATTGGTAGAGCAGATATGAAAATAAGAAAGTGAAAGAAATTATATATTATCAGAACAAAAAACCACCAAACAGCAAAGAGAAACAATAAAAGAGAAAGGAACAAAAGATATATATATATATATATATATATATATATTTTTTTTTTTCCTTTTTGTCTTTTTTACTGACCGGTAACGGGATTGCAACCCTCGGTGTCGCGCCCATACCGGGGACTGGCAACGGGATCGCAACCCTCGGTGTTGCACCCGCACTGCGCTCAGCCAGTGAGCGGGAACCGGTCTCCACATGGGATCCGAACCCTCAGCGGGAGCGCTGCCGCACTCCCAAGTGGTGCACTCTCCAGTGCGCCACCGGGCCGGCCCAAAAGATATATTTTAAAAACTAGAAATAATCAGTAAAATGTCAGGAATAAGGCAATAACTTTCAATAACAACTTTGAATGTAAGTAGATTAAATTCACCATATAAAAGATATAGATTGGATGAATGGATTAAAAACAAGATGAAACTATACATTGTCCACAAGAAACTCCCTTCATCTATAAAGACACACATAGATGAATACTGAAGAAATGGAAAAAGATATACTATGCAAATAGAAACTGAAAATGAGCAGGAATTGTGATACTTACATCAGAGAAAATAGACTTGGAACAAAAAAGTATAAAAACAGACAAAGAAGGACATTATATAATGATAAATAAATCAATTCAGCAAGTTATAACAACTGGAAATATGTATGCACTCAACATCAGAGCACCTGGATATATAAAGCAAATATTACTGGATCTGAAGGAAGTGATAGACCCCAATAAAATAATAGCTGGGCACTTCAGCACCCTCTCTTAGCATTGGACTGATCATCTAGACAAAAAACACAGAAATGTTCAAATTAAACTGCATATAGACCAAATGGACTTGACAGACATTTACAAACGATTTCATCCAACAACTGCAGAATACATATTCTTCTAATCAGCACATAGATTATTCTCCAGGATATTCCATGTTAGGCCACAAATCAAGTCTCAACAAATTCTAAAAGACTGAAATCATATCAAGTATTTTTTCATACCACAATGGAGTAAAACTAGAAATCAGTAATAAAGAAAACTTTGGGAACCTTACAAATACATGGAAGTACATGGAACCTTACAAATACCTGTAAAAGCAAGGAGTTAAAGAGGAAATAAAGCAGGACATCAAAAGTTCCTTGATGGGCTGGCCCGGTGGCGCACTGGAGAGTGCACCGCTTGGAAGCGCGGCGGCGCTCTCGCCGAGGGTTCGGATCCCATGTGGAGACCGGTTCCCGCTTACTGGCTGAGCGCAGTGCGGGCGCAACACCGAGGGTTGTGATCCCATTACCCGTCAGTAAAAAAGACAAAAAGGAAAAAAAAAAAGTTCCTTGAGACAGAAATACAAGAACAACATACCAAAGCCTATGGGATACTGCAAAAGCAGTACGAAGAAGGAGCTTCACTGTTGATGTGGGTTGCTCTGGTGAGGTTGCTGGGGTTGTAGGAGGGACCTTACAACCTCAGGAGAAAGACTGGGTTGCTCTGTAGCATCACTTTTGTAAAGAGCTACTCTGGAAAAAGTTATTGTGGTTGTAGGTGGGACCCTACACCCACAAGAGGAATGCTGGGGCACTCTGAATCTTCACCATTGAAGTGGGCCAGTCTGAGTGAGGCTGCTGCAGTTGTGGGTGGACCTCTCTGTCTACCAGAGAGATGCTAGGTCACTCTGAAGATTTCCTGTTGGGGCAGGTGGCCCTGGGTGGGCTCACTGGCACTACAGATGGGGCTCTGTGCCCTCAAGAGAGGCCTGCAGGAGCTCCACAGTTTCCCCACTGGAGTGGTTGGCTCTGGGCAGGTTTGCTGTAGCTGCAGTGGGACTCGGTGCCACTGGGAAAGTTGTACAGTGCTCCACTGAAGAGAGTAGGGCTGCCAGCAGTGGGAGAAGGCCCTGATTGGCTCTGGAAAGAGCATGCACTGGCTCCCTCTGTCCTAGGGGTGACCTCTGCACTGCTCAAGACCACCTGTTCCTTGGGTGCAGGATATCACATGGGCTCTGGTGCCAGAGTCTCAGTATAATGAAGGGTCCTTAGGACCATGCAGTTGCTGGGGCTATTGGGTCCCAGGGCAAAATGTATTCAGAGGTTGGCTCTGATCCCAAAATGGTGACATGCTGCAGCAGCTGGGGACCTGAGGGACGGGGGGACTCAGCATGAACTCCCTCCCTGGATTAATGCAGTCGTGCGGGCTCCTAGCAGCCTCCCACCCTGGGCTCATGGCCTGCAAGGGCTGCCTTGTAGCTTGGATTGCAGTGTCCAGAGTGCAACTCTTGCTTACTTTTTCCTTGCAGGCAAAAATTCCTTCTGGTTCCCTGCTGCTCCTGGTTGGGGGATGGAGTGGTGGAGGTGGGTATTTCCTACCATTGCCTCTGTGGCAATCCTGAGTTTCTGTGCTCACTATGGTTTGTAGTTGCATATTCATTGTTTTGTCTGTCTTTGTGGGAGAGATGAGCAGTAGAGTCTTCTAGTCGTCCATCTTCCTCTGCCCCCTTGATTTTTACATTTTTAATCAACTTTTTAGAACTGTCTTGTCAATTACTTGACAGCTGAGTTTTTTTGTTTGTTCGGTTTTTTTTTTTTTCAACTTGTCATTATCAAGTTTTTTGGTAAGCATTTGACTTAATTTTCCTTGCAAAGATTCACACTTGTCCTTTATCAATTTATGTCATACTTAAGTCATAAATTTACAGTCATGAGCACAAATGGCATAAACAGGCTCGGGAATAAATACAATGACTTGGGTAAGCACACATCTCAACCAGAAGGGCAGAAGTTCGTGGATATGCCAGAGACAGCCTACTACCTGTGCACATTCCCTATGGCAAGGGCATCCATCAGCATCTGTTAGAAAGAACTGGAGAACGATGGTTAATCTATGAGTTGGTTAAAGGGCCTTTAATTAAGAGAGTTTCCACAATAAATACATTTTTTATTAATATGCATAGGTAGTAACTCTTAAGGAGCATTTTTTGAAAATGTTTTCTAGCATGAGTCCTGCAGAACTTGCCTTAATAAACAGCCAAAGCTTACTTACAATCAGCAGAATCTGTCCACATCATAATTGCTGTTTTAAAGTGCTTTTTCCTAGCAATCTAATTTACACAGTGGTACTATAATTGGTTTGTTTCAGTCTATTTTTTTCTTAGATGGGAAGGAATAATGTTTTGGCCACTCCCCATTGAGTAATCACAATTTTTAAATTAATGATTTGGGGATTAATGAGCTCTTCTTCCTTTTATACACACTAGAGATCTTAAATACCTCTATCAATGTTTTTAGTTATTTTCTTTCTACTAAATATGGGTAGCAATAAAGTATGATATGCTGCGGATTGTTTTAAAAAGAAAATAAACAGATGTTGGTCCTATTGACTTTAAATGAATAGATGTGGAAAATTATAGAGCTGAGAGACCAAGTGAGAGAAGCATGTGTGTGTATGTAATTAAAAGGGGACTTCAAAAAGTTTGTGGAAAAATAGAATTAAAAGATAGTATGAATCTTTTCATGAATTTTTAAAAGTACCATCATACATGTAAATACACAAAGGCAGAGAGAGATACAAAGAGGCAGAGAGAGAGACAGGGAAAGAGATAGGCAAAGGGAGAATAAGACAGATACAGAGACAGATTATATGTGCATATATATATATATATATATATATAGGTAGATTTTATATATATATGATTATACAAGTTTATACACATACACACACACACACACAGAGAGAGAGAGAGAGAGAGAGAGAGAGAGAGAGAGAGAAATACCTACATACTAAGATAGGAATAGAAAGAGAAATAGAAAAGCAGAGAGAAACAGAAAAACAGGTAAGGAAAGAGAGAATGCATAGAGAGATAAAAAGAGACAGACAGAAGCAGATACGAAAAGAGAAACCAAGAGAAACTGCAACATCTAGAGAGACAGAGGAAGGGACACCTTAGCAATGCTGTTTAAGAGTAGCTTCATGTCTGCCCTCTACAAAACTGTAGAGTGCACAGGGGTAGAGGTCAGAGACCTTGGGCAAGCTGTGTCACCGGCCAGGACAGGGAAGCAGGTCCAGAGCCAACCAGGAGATGCAGTGTCATAACAGGCAATAAAGAACTATGAGTAGGTCACAACGTGGGCATTAATTGGATGGCCTGTACCACTTATTCATATCTGTTAAATGTGTTTTTTTCAGTGCTAAGTGTATTTAAACATTTTTTGGCTGCAGAAAGGTATTGAAGAAAATATCTGTTGGAGAACTAAATCCAAACGAGACTGTGCAAGCCAGTTTGGAAGCCCAGCTCCTCTCCAGGTTGGACCACCCAGCCATTGTTAGGTTCCATGCAAGCTTTGTGGAGCAAGATAATTTCTGCATTATCACAGAGTACTGTGAGGTGAGACTTTCCTTCTTTCCTGAAATCTTAGTAAAAATCTGTTGCATGGTTAAAAGCCTTATGTAAAGAGACATCTCAGAAGTTCCATTATCAAACCACAAGTTGAACAATAAAGACTTGGGATCTCACATCTTGCAGCTAAGATTGATCATCTCTAGGTAATTGGCAAAACGCATTTCTAATGAACTGTTTTTCCCCTTTGGTAAACTCAGTCAGAATGAACATATTTTTAGGAGGAATTGCTGCAGAAAACTGCCTCAACATTTTTTGGAGGGAGTGCCCAAACCTCCTACACTAGTCTAATGCTTAGGTGGACATTTAAATGACCTAACAGAGGCCTGGACAGAGCAGAGGTATATCTCCTGAGTTTTGGATTCTAGTTCTATTGCTTATTTTCCCCAGTGGATGTTTGGAAATGAAAATATGGCTCATTTCCCTCACAGAAATCCTTCATATTTATCAATTTGTGATTTATGGCTTCAGGTATTTGCAATTTTCCCTGCCACTCTGTGTTTTCTCCAAGTAATAGCTGTGTATTTTACTGAGCCCCAAGTGAGCATGAAGCTGCTTGGAGAGGTGTGAGAGGCAGAAATTGACAATGTGTAGCTATACAGTGGATCTGTGTGTTCACTCCTGAGAGGTTAGGTAGAGGGGACTTACAGGGGTTGGGTCAGGCAGAGAATACCCAAAAATGACCTTGCTCAAAAAGTATCTCCTAGAATATTCTGGGAGCTAGGGTTAGCCAACTGCATGCACCCTGGGAGAATTTGGTGTTATTCACATTTTAGACTGAATTGAGTCAGGTCGTCACTTGGGTGTTTCTGTGACCCAAGAAGTGATGCTGGGAAGAAAGAAGATGCTGTCTATAGTAGTACAAGTGTACTTCAAAAAGTTCATGGAAAAATTAGTATTATCTTTTAAATCTATTCTTCTATGAACTTTTAAAAGTACCCTTGTAGAAGGCAGGCCTGTTTGGGTCAGAAACTTTTGGCAACCTGATACAACCTGAGGATGCCGTGCATTTGAGAGGCGGAAAGGAAGCAGCAAGAGAAGGGAAAGAAGCTCAAAAGTAGTAGGGATAGTAGCAAAAACCAACCTGGCCTACTTTAGACATTAGCTGGTGTATCCCCCAGATGAAACCAACAGCCTAGTTAAAATATCTGAATGTATTTGAAATAATCCAAATCTTTGCCATCCCCCTTCAGGTCAGCCTCCCCAGCTCAGCCTTGCTGGATATTCCCCCATCCAGATCTCATCCCTCCTCTGCTTGGAGGAAAGTGAAAAAAAAAAAAAAAAAAAAAAAAAAAAAAAAAAAAAAAAAAATCCCCCAGATGAAACCAACAGCCTAGTTAAAATATCTGAATGTATTTGAAATAATCCAAATCTTTGCCATCCCCCTTCAGGTCAGCCTCCCCAGCTCAGCCTTGCTGGATATTCCCCCATCCAGATCTCATCCCTCCTCTGCTTGGAGGAAAGTGAAAAAAAAAAAAAAAAGAACCAGGTCACTTTGATGTCTACTTCTATAGCCAACCGATTGTTTAAAAAGTCAGTAAGATGATGAGGTGTGCAGAGCGGTGATATTGAATATTGAACAGCCTCTTTGGCAGATATGTCCTTAATCCATGCAAAACTATAGGTATTTGCATATGTAGCTACACTATGGTTCACCCGCTATAATTTAATCGTTTTTCTTCTTTAGCCTCTTCAGTTAATAAACTATCTTATTTCAGAAACAATTGACTCTATTGCTCTACTACTGGTACATCTACTGCACACTGAATTTTTCAAAGACTCTTTCCTGGTCTTGAAATATTTCCTGGTCTAAAAGTAAACTTTCTGTGCTGATGGAAATGGTCTATACTTGTGCCATCTAGTACCGTAGTCACTAGTCACACATGGCTCTTTAGCACTTGAAGTGTGGCTAGTGCAGTTGAGGAGCTGGATGTTAAATTTAATTTAATTTTAACTAATTTAAATTTAAATAACCACGTGTGGCAAGTGGCTACCATATTGAACAGGTCTAGATGATGCACTATAGCTTTCTTTCCCTGCATTAATTAATTTTTTAAATTTTTAATGTAATTTTAAACTACCAGGAAAGTTACAAGAGTAACACAATGAACTTCCATATACACTTCATCCAGTTTTCCCAATTATCATTTTTCCACATTTGCTTTATCATTTTTTTCTTTCTATCTATCTGTCTATATCTTTTTTCCTGAACCATTTGAGAGTAAGTTGCAGACATGATGCCCCTTTGTCCTAAATATTATTGTATTTTCTAAGGCCAAGGACATTCTCTTACATAACCACAGTACAATGACTAAAATCCGGAAATTAACATTGATACAATGCTAGTATGTAGCATCAGCACCACTTGGGAACTTGCTAGAAATACAAATTCTTGGCCTCCACCCCAGCCTTACTGAATCAGAAATTTTGAGGGGCCGGCCCGGTGGTGCACTGGATAGTGCGCCGCTTGGGAAGCGCGGCGGCGCTCCCGTCCGAGGGTTCGGATCCCACATACAGACCGGCTCCCGCTCACTGGCTGAGCGAGGCACGGGAGCAGCACCGAGGCTTGCGATCCCGTTGCCGGTCCCCGGTCCGGTACAGGGGCAACACTGAGGGTTGCGATCCGTTGCCGGACACGGAAAAAAAAAAAAAAAAAAAAAAAAAAAAAAAAAAAAAAAAAAAAAGAAATTTTGAGGGTGGGGTCTGGCAATCTGTGTTTGACAAGGCTTCCTGGTGAGCCTGAAGCACGCTGGAGTCTGAGAACCAGTCATCTAATTCACAGTCCATACTCAAATTAGCCCACTTGTCCAAATTATGTCCTTAGAAAGGACATTTCTATAGGAATGTTCCTTTGTTGCACAGGATCCAATCTGGGATCATCTGTGTCAATTTTTGAAGGATGCATGGTTTCCATGGGTGGAGTGCTCTCTCTGGATGGGTTGTCGCCATGGTGATGGCTGCAGTGGCAGTGCCCAGAGAGCAGGGAGAACAGCTGTGGGGCTCCCAGGACTCTGCAGGCTGCTGAGCTGTCAGCCACTTCCCTGACTGCTGAGGAATTACGTGTGCAGATTGCTCCATTCTCATTAACAGAGATACTTTTCATCTTCAGACCCAAATATACTCTGAACTTGCACAGGCCTGGTGTTATCATCTTTTTATTAAGGTAAAATAATAATATAGGCAATGGCAGGTGGCCAAACTTGCACTTCATAGAAAAATGCTGTCACCGTTGAAATGACTGATTTTTTTATCTCTACGTTCCCTCTTCTGTAATTTAATTTGGGACCTTTCAGGACTGAAATATATAAATGCATTTGTGAGGACTCCACCCCTACTACCCAACACTCTGAGCACATCATCTCAGATTGTTAGTGTAAAAAAGCAAACAACTGAGCTCTCACAACTTCTTGTCAAGATCTAACCAAATCTTTGGTGGGAGATAGTTCCAAAACTGCCTAAGTAGCAGAGAATTTCAAATATTGGCGTCTTCTATTCTCAGGGAGGGACAGGGAGGAAATGTAACTACTTGCTGTTCCCTGTCCTTCCTCCACAGTTCCCACCTCTTCATCTTTGCTTAGGCCATTTCCTTTCAGAATGCCCTTCCTCCTAGCCTCACATCTCCAAATTCTACCTAGCCTCCCAGGTCCATAAATGCTGCCTCCTCTCCCGTAATCAAAGGCTCCTATAATTTCCTGGCTGGAAATCACTCCCACACCCCCAGCTCTCATAGCATTTTTATCTCTCATGGTACTCAACACAATATACATCGTATCAACTATTTCAAACTCTCAACATGTGGGACTGACATTTTTCACAATCATTTTTCTGTCATATCATGGACTCACATAGTGAAACATAAAGGAATTAGAAATCAGGACTTTTTTTTTTTTGATAAATTCTTCACTACTTGCTTCCAGCTGCCTTCCACCTCATTTCTGCCAAACACTTATGATAAAAGACAAAATATTGGATCCTTTCACCTGTCTTGTATATCAAATGTCCTACCGTATTTTGTTCTACCTTATTTGGTTAGTATGCCTAGCAATATACTGCACTCGAGGCCTTTGAGATACTGCCTAAAAGTCTCCTATTTGGGTGAAAATATGGCATCCCCAGAAATGTGGGCATTAAATTAGTAGGCACAATAGGGAATAGTTAAGATGACATATCTTTTCGACAGAGGGGTGGTGGTGGTGGTGGAGAGAACATATGACATTAGGACAAAAAACAGGAAAGGTTGGACTTGTCTGTTTCCTGCTTGGTGATATTAACATAGCTAAACAAAAAATTATATCAATATAGTAGTATATTATTATATCAATATAGTAGTATATTATTATATTGGCTTAATTTTGGCTGCACATTAGAATAACCTAGAGAGCTCTCAAAAAATTTTAGGCTTGAGGCTTACCTCCAGAAAGTCTAATTTAATTGATCTGAGGTATGGCACAGGCAGCAGAATTTTTAAGTCTATCCAGGTGATTATAATGTTTAACGAGGGCTGAGAACTGCAAAAAAGGGAGAATGATTAGTGTAGAAACAGATAAACAGAGTCATAAAGGAAAAATTTGTCAGTGTTTATGGGGCACTAACGAAAGATGAGGCTCAGATCAGAGAACAGGGAAGTCTGGCACGGGTGGTGAGTGTAGTTTTATGATCAGGCTGCCTAGCTTTTGCTATTATCCATGAAAATCACCCAACTCACTCTCCCTGCTCCCCAAGCAAACTTCTGATTCCAAAGCTTTCCATACATGACTCTTCTAAAAGGAAAATATACGCTGGCTACACTGACATGAGCTCCCTGTTGCCTTGGCAGTTCTCGTTCTCACTGCATGTGAGTAAACGGGTGTTCTGGATTATTTATTGGTTCCTTATGAACTCAAAGTTTGCAAAGGCAGTGCTAATCAAGGGTCTTTCCAGAAGCCATTACTGAGCCCCAGCTCTGTGTCAGATACAATTCCTAGACATAGTGTGGAGTAACTGAGATA